GTTAGTAACCCCAGGGTTTCTCAGTTCTCTAAATTGGTGGACTATTTTTCCATGAAGTAACTTTTTTTATTTAAAATTTTGATATTCTCATAATTAAAAGATCTTTACATGCATGGCAGTTATTGAGTAATTCATGCATTAATAATAGTCTTCTTTTGTCTTTTTAATATCACAAAATAAATTATCCCATATCATTGTGAGATACCTGAATAATATAAGGGAGGTGAGTTTGCCATTTTTCAGTATTTGAATGGACACTGTGTGTCTGAGACTTCCTTGAATTTCATAACCAGGTTTTCTGAAAATCTAGTCTGGTAATATACTGAATGTGAAGTATAATTAGACAGAAGTTTTGAACCATTCGTGGTTCAAACTATGAATTTTCCACTAATTTAAATAAATTAAAGTTTCTGTGTAAACAGCAACACAGTGCTTGGTTATGACAAGATGTTACTGGACTTCAAGTGCATTGCAAGGCATGAGGCCAAAGCCAAATATTGTCCTGGAAATTTTGGTGGTATTGTACAGACTAATTGCTTAATGAAGGTGACTGCTTTTATCTTTTTTAATGTCAGAAGTGGGTAATATTTTTAACAAGTCTCCCTACATATGTGATTTACTGAAAATTGTTTGGAACTCTTTGATGGATATTCTCTGTTAATCCTGTCAGAATCTTGTGCCATGGGTTTGTAAAGCAATTTTAGTGATAATATGAAAGGGCCAAATTTTGATATCATTGTTCATGTTTAGTCCCTGGTTTCAGAATTAGCCCAGGGTGACTATTTATGGAGTTGAGGTACTGCTCAACATGAGTAAGGATATCAAATTCTGGCCCTTATTGATATCTCTCTTTTTTTTAATGGCAGCTATGAAAACGTTTACTGCAGATATAATTTTTTGTAAATAATTGTCCTTTTTATGTTTTATTATAGAATATATGTAGAATTCTTAAAACATATTTCTCTTTCATTCTCTTACATAGGTCTGTTCTGAGGGGATGATATTCCTTCTATGAAAGTAGTGGAGACAGAAAGAAACTGAAACTTCTGGAAACTTGCCTTAGAATGTATTGGAAATCTGATATATTTAGTTATTTGCTGTGTTTACCAGAGGAGACAGCAGTCTTGTAGTTCTGGCATTTGTTTACAGTTAAAGAAAAATATTTTCCATCTTATATGTTGGCTTTCTTAAACTTTTATCGGCGCCCTCCCTCCTAGGTCCTTTGTAGTGCAGTTTTTGAACTCCCATGTTCACTGGCTTACTAGCAGTTGATGTTTGGATCATCAGATTTTTTTTTATATCAATCAATCAGGCACCCAACAAGTGAACCGGATAGCAATCACAGAAAAGTGGAAGTCAGTGTAGTATTTTAACATACTGCTGGGTATCGAGAATAGACACATTATCTTAGAAATGGGATTTCCATTTCTCTGTGGGCCACATCATCTTGAGAGCCATGTGTGGATCTCCCTGTTTGCAGAAGAGGTGCTCAGTCTTCCTGTAGCAGTGCTCCAAACTGCCCTCCCACAGCCCTGCAGAGTGATATGTTTGTGGTCAGAGATTCTTGCAGGGAGAAAAGTTGGGGTGGTGGGTGGGTAAGCATGCCGCTATCGCCCAACACCCACACCATTTACTACAGATTGCATGAACTCTCTTGCAGAACCTTTGGTGGTCCTCGGGAGCCTCCACAGCTGGAGGTGGAGTCCCTGGCATTGTGGCTGTAATGAAGCTTCACTTCACAGGGCAGATGTGCAGAGGGTTGGAGCTGCTGTGAGCATTTGTGTCCTCCTGTGAATCCTAGGGGATCTAGTAGGTTTGTGGGTGGCTGCTCCATGGGGAAGGTATACCTTGTTCCCTTCCTCTAACATGACAGTGTAGGGTCACCTCCGTGTGAACATTCTTGTGAATATTCCATGACTCATAGTTGCTGCCTATGGTTTTTAATGTGGGAACAGACTACCGAGGTCTGTGTCTTTTCATCCTAATTCAGAGGAATATTCAGAAACATAAACGCTGCTGACTGCACAGATTTTGATTGTTATGGATAGGTTACAGGGATCCTAGAATTTATCTGCAGTAAATCTTTTAGTGATTTTTTTCAATGCTTTTTATTTTTTCTTTTCCTACTCATTGTAATGAGTATATGAGAAAGTTTATCTTCATTATAATTTCTAAATGACTGCTTTCTTATTTTTAATTCCAGTTCATCATTTTCTCATGTTGTATGGCAAGCTATATAAATTCTGAAGCATGGAGAACTGAAGCACAGAGAGGCAATGACTGTGTTCAATATAGTCCTTATAAATCAAGAACAAAATAGATAATTTGCCCAAGAAACTTTTTGCTCTTGGTCTGGCTTTTAAAGCAGTGATTTCAACATAAATGTTTAATCCTATTGTTTCCTCAAAGATACCAGTAGGATCCATCTTCCTACATATTATTGAATAAAGAAACCTTTTATTTCATGGTGCCGTGATTTAAACACCAAGCCTTTCATTTTACCATTTAGTTGATTTATACTTTTTTTCAGTATGGTCTGGTCTCAGTTTGCTTTATCAAAATTCAAGATTTATTTGTTGGAGCAATTAGAGCAAAGTAGAGAACCTTTTCCATAGCCTGAAATCCTGATACCACCAGACTTTTTAAGATACTAACATTATCCAGTGCTATACTTTCTGATTCTTCCTTGAAACATTATTGTTAGAATTTTTCAAAAAGATTTGAAACATTCTGATTGTTGTTGTTAAAATTACAGGCTTAACTGAATTGCTTTCAAACTCATTATTCTTTTTTCTCCTGAAGGTAATTTAATCATACACTTTACACCAGAAAATGATTCTTCTGTCTTTTTTTCATAAAGTCTCTGTTGTAAAGAGGAGACTTAGTTTATTTGGAAGGATTTATATTGTTACAAGATGCTCTTTACAGTGAGTACTAGTGATCTGTAATTTAGACACTTGTGAATATTTAGTAGGTGAGGGCTAAATTGTGGCTTTGTCACAGTTCTGAGCAAAGGGCAGTTTATAGTTGTGCCCCAGAAATCCAGGAGGCAAATAATCTGCACCAGTTTATATTTGGTACAGATTACTTTTCCCAGTGCACCAACTCAGTTGCACTGGTTAGTGTGTTGAGGGGTTGAAGCCAAGGCTGCTTCCCACCCCTTCCCACAGAGATTGCTCTCCATCTAGTACTGCTACTTGCAAAGAGCCCCATTGCTCACCTGTGCACCTGCCTTAGCTAGTCTGCAGTCTGGTTTTGAATATGTTAGGTGCTGCACAGGTGAAGTTTATGTGTCTGATTTTTTTAAAAGGACCTTAACCCGACCTCTAATTTTGAGTGCATTTTGTAACCACAAAAATTTTATGCTCAAACTTGGAGCCTCTCACTTGAAAATCGGGCCTTATACATACAGATGCAAAATACTTTCTTGTGCTATGAGGCTTTCATTGTACTAAGAAAATCTCTGCCTTCCTTTATGGGCATAGAGTGCTAAAGTTTAATGGTGACGTGAAAGAAAAAGAAATTGGGCTTTCTTGTTTCTTTGTGATATATAAAGAAAGTATATTTTTTTTTAAAAAGTCAAATCCTGCCTCTTACATTAGAAATTAAGGTCTTATCTTCTCTAGAAGACTGAATGGATTATTAATAATTATTTCAGTTTGAGTTGTGAGAACCATGCCTTTAACTTCTTTGCCTCAGTTTCCATTTCTGTGTAAAGGGATATCCTTGTACCTACTCAACTGAGTTGTTGCAGGGTTAAATAGTCAAATGTTTTTAAGGCATTTTGAAAATATGAAGTTTTTTATTCATTCCTGAGTATTAATTATACTGTTGGGAATTTTTTTGTAACTGAGTCTCCTAGGGTTCCATATACTTCAAGTAGGGATCACAGCATTGTCTTGAAGATTCAGTTATTCTCTGTCTCCACTGCTTACAGACAGGGAACATAATCTCATCAGTCTGGATCTGTGTAGGAGAATTTGGAGAAAATAAATAACAGGTAAGAAATATAAACTTGGCGACGTTGGGTCAAATTCATCCCTGGCATAACTTGATTCACTTCAATGGAGTTTTCGTAGAAATGAAAGGTTTCAGAGTAACAGCCGTGTTAGTCTGTATTCGCAAAAAGAACAGGAGTACTTGTGGCACCTTAGAAACTAACCAATTTGTTTGAGCATAAGCTTTTGTGAGCTACAGCTCATGCTCAAATAAATTGGTTAGTCTCTAAGGTGCAACTAGTACTCCTTTTCTTTTTTCGTAGAAATGAAGTTGCTCATTTTACTCTGCTGCCAGATGGCCAGGTTATGTCACCCTTATGTTGAGTAGTACCTTACTCTGAGTAGTCCCACTGTGAAATCAGTAGGATAGTTCATGAATAATTACTCAGTGTGGCAGAATATGACACCCCAAAATGTGTTATTTTCAGGATGTATATTTAATGTGTTTAATAAAAACAAGTAAAATGAAAAGGCTGATAGTACAAAATTGATATATATATCACATGAAATATATGAATAACTGGAATAATATGACATAAAGCATGTATCTTCTGTACAGCATAAACAAATTATATTCTGTATTTATCAGAAGATGTTATGGGCCTGATGTTAATTTACATGAAGGCCCCGTTTCAGAGACAGAACAGTGTAAAGAAATGTTTCTGGATAATTTAGTAATAACTGGTAATTGGATGTCATAAAGATGCTTTTTTAAAAATTGCTTGATGAAAAGTATCTTAATTTTTGACTTTCATCTTGCACTGGAACTCTGGTGCATGGCTCTGCCTGCACAGTTGTCAGTGAAGGATCAGAGCCTTTGCTTGCAAACTCATCGCTTACTGATGTGTATGCGTCTTTGCTAATTTCCACCGTGAATGTTGTTTATTGAAAAATTAAATTTTGAAAAAATATTAACTTTTTTTAGTCTCAACACTGAAAAATAAACTATCTTTCTAAATAGTTTCCATTTTTTTAATTTCTCCCAATTTTTTTCTTAACTAGGTCCTTTCTGATGATGCTTGTGCTTACACTACGGCTGTTGGTCTCATTCCTGTTGGCTAAACATTTATTCTCATTGACTTCATTAAGTTAATGCTTGCCAAAAAATTGAGGTATAGCATTTACAGAATTATCAGGATACTGCAGTGCAGACCTTAACCTTCACCTTAAACTGACTTTATTTGCAATTCACTCTGGAGATAGTGTACAGTGCTTTTTGGAAGCCAGAAGGTCTCCTTTTTTCTAGAATCAACTGCGCACCTTGTTTGGCTTGAACTACCATGAAGAGCGTAGCTGCATGTTTGAAAAGTTCAGAATTTATTATTTTGGAGAAAAGGATAACACTGTATGGTGTATGAGAATTACTGGAAAATAAAATATGTGTTTTTATTGGGAAACAACAATTCTACAGATAACATCTCTGTATTTTAAATGGTTTACTTTAAAGATTAGTGAAATTTATTACGTTTTATTTGTCTTTTAGCTGATGTTTGATTAATATAGTTTTTGTTTTAAAGAGATGATTTATTTAAAATTGTATTTACCAGTAATACTTTAAATTGGTAAGTAAACTAGACGTTTATAAAAGGTTTGGAGTAATATGTAAATCGGATATTGGCAAAGTAATCTAGTTAGAATACCTCACCCTCCACATTTCTGTAGTTTTAGAGAAGATTCTATCAGTTTGTCTTGTAAATAATAAATCTTAGAAAAAAGCAAAAATGAACTGGCTACACCTCTTCTTTCATAGATGAAATCCCTGTATTTCAGTACGAGATCTAATTTGGAAGAAAATTAATATCTTGTGGTAGCAAGATAAATCAGAGATTTGTTTCTGCAAAGGTAGAAAGATGCAAAACAAAATTGTTAATGGAAAGATACCTTTCCAGTCAAATCTGTGGTATCTGTGTTGGTATACAAGTATATCAGTGAAGTATTTTTGTGTCACATACTGGTAAAACAGGATTTGCAATGCGACAGATCGGCATAGTCTCCATTGCTATCATCAAAATATTGAGGTTTGAAACATGTTAGAAAATTATTTTTTGTGTAGTAGTCCATTTTGTCTCTTTGAATTAAATTTGTATCTATAGACTTACATGCAAAGTAACTATTCATGTATTTATTTACAGACTACAATTTTCGTCGCAGCTCAGTAAATAGCATTTCCCCTGCTAGTGCCACTCTCTCTTCTGGGACACCCAGCATGCTTCCATACACATCAAAGCCTTATTTTTATCCAAGCTACCCCTTATTACCAACAATTCTGCTTGCTAATGGCAGCCATGTTGGACAGCGAGTATATATCTCTAATGAGGCCTCATTCTTTTGAAGAAAAAGTTGTACAGCATTAATATGAAAGTTGTCATTTTTAGTTTTTAATTGGGTCTACACTATTAATTTTCGTGAGTAAAATATATTTATTTCCATATAGGGAACTTTTCACATTTCAGTAAATATAAGCATTTGTCAAAAGATAAAGTTCAAAAACGTTACTTTTCTTGGCCTGAGTACTGTAGATTGATGTTCTTTTATCTGTTTATGGTTCCTGGTCAAAGTGTGGGCAGTAGAACCCAGTGGCTTATGTTAAGAATTTTTCTAATAATTACTTTGCTGAATAGTATCTCTTTAATTTAATCTGTGCAAATATTGGTTGTAATCTTGTTACCAAGGATCGCTTTTATGTTGAAGATTAGTAGTTATTTAGCCAGAAGGCAACTATTATGTGGCCGGAAAATGATGCAAAAGGAAGATTTTAAGACACTTTTTTTTTAAAAATTTAAAGAAATATAATTTACTATTGTGGTCCTTTGCATAGTTTTAGTAATAGAGTAAATTATCTTACTTTTTGTGCTGTTAATTTATTCAGAGTTAAAATTGTTAAGCTTCATCTGTGTTTTGGTATTACCTGTATAGTAGTTCTGTTTTAAAAAAAAGAGTTGTCCTGTTTTTTTAATGTTGAAATCATGTGTTAATTTCTGTACTTGAATTCAAATATTTTGACATTAAATTTATGCTGTTCTTTAAAATATATTTGTGGGGTTTGTATATATTGTTGAACACTCAACATTGTTTACAGTAATTTTAGAGACAAGTGGATAGAGTTTTAGGGCCTCATTCTCCCCCAATAGAGTTCAGTGGCAAAGCTACCTTTGACTTCAATGGAAGCACTTACATATGAACTTAATTTTAAGCACTTGCTTAATGCTTTTGGTAAATAGGCGGCTTTGAGGGTAAAATAACTTAATTTTAGAGATGGTGTGTGAATGGGCTGGGAGTTCATAAACTAGCTTGGCATGTTTCACTGTTACATAAGAAAATTCGATGTGGACCAACCTTGGGACTCTTGTTCCTTTGGTCAGTGAAACTTAAACACGAAGCAAATATAATCAGAATGCTAATACTGTTTATCTGTCAGTTCAGGAATAACATGGATGGCTGGTATAGGAGAATTCAAAACATCAGTCTAGCACACTTTTGCTTTTGATACAGGAAAAAATTACTTCAGTTTTTATTATATTGTACAATGTTCAATCAAAAAGATTCCTTAAAACAGAGACTCTTAACCTGAGAGTGAGGCACAAATTGCCTGGTATAGTCTGCAATTTTGAATTTGAGGTATCAGAAATCCTTTATCTTCGCTCAAATTATTTTTGAATAATTTTCATGATGATTTCTTTAATATTAAACATTCTTTAACCAGTCACTTGTGCATATGTGAAAATATGCTGAGTTTTGTACATATACAAGAAAACGCACTTCATTTGGTATTGATAGTATATTTATTAATAACCTTTTAAAACCCTTCCCACAGGATTCGCCTTCCATGACACTAGGGTTAAACATAACACTAGCAGTAGTGTGTACAAAAGTGTGAAATATTCCTGTAATGCTTTTGAGGGAATCTTCCTTTGTGGGGTAGACCATGCAATGCCCTCTGGAACTTTAAAGCTTGTTCTCGATGTAGAGAGATCACAAGTGTAGAGGACATGTGGGGCCTCCATGCCACTTACGAATAGGCCTGCATGGAGGGTTTCTTGGGGCCGGCTGTGGGATGGTTATGGGATTTCATGACTACTCATCTAATGGGGCAGGGTGGGGTATCAGCCACTTTGTATGAAGCCTGTAGGATAGAATAATAAATGCTGGGACTACATTGCAGTCATGCAGTCTGCATGCACAGTGGTGGTTTTAATCTGTGCACCCCCACTTCATACTCTGAGCAAAGACTACATGGGCTTTGCAAAGGGGAATAAATTCAATCCTTTTAGATTATCATTATGACTTTAGTAACCAGATTCATAATGATTTTCCTGAAGGTAATTAAAGCTACTGTTGCTGTACCAAATACTGACTGACCAAAAGTAAAAAGTCTTACAAAGAACTTGTTAAAATTGAATTGTATTAGCAATAGTTGGCTGTATGTAAGCTGGGTTGGGTCTAAATACAGAATGTATTCACTCCTGGAAATTTTAGTTCCTCTGAAAGGAAAGTTTGTCTGATTATTCTGGAGTTAACAGTGTTGTAAGGAATAAGCTAAAGAAATGGCTGGTGCACAGTGAATGTTGACCCACTTGTGCGTTTGAAGCTCTGTGTAGCATGTGTATATACACTTTATATAGAGTAAGCAATTTAAAAATTCTCAACAAATGCATCTGCCTGAGTGTCTTCTCCTTTGATACATTACACAAATGTGCTGGTTACACAGTCTTCAGATAATTGAGAAATCTCTCAATGGAACCTGTTAATCTTCAGGAAGGACAGTTGTCACAAAGCTTTACTCACTGAATTTTGAAAAATTATAGGAAAAAAATTGAATTGTGTACTGTGATTTATACTAATACTGTACATGCTGGTCAAAAAAATCTGTGATACAATAAATAGTTTAGTTTTGAGGGGGGACACCGTAAGGATATATAACAAATCTTGGAAAGATTCTTTATTTTTTTGTGTAGGTCATCCTGTGCTAAGCCCCCTTTGTTCCAATTAACTATTAAAGCTGTGCTAAGTCAGAGGATTTCCCCAGCATCAGGGAAGTTGACATTGGCAACTCTGTGCCCTCCCCATCTCCTACTAAGGTGTATGCTGGGAGCCACAGAGGTATGGCCAGAGTTTGTGGCACTCAGGCAGTCCCTGCTAGTGGGGCTGTTACAAGCCACCACAACTTGAATCAGTCCCAAGGCCTAAAATCTGTGGTTATGGCTGAATAGCTCTGGGGCTTGAGGTGTCAGAGTTAGTTGTAAAATACCCTTTTCCCATTCTGCCCCTGTCTTGTGCACTGAATACTGTTTTGTCACTTCTGAAGATTGGGGGCATTGCAATTAATTAAATGACCCCTTCACGATTTGAATCTTGGTGCTGAAAGCTGGCACTCTAACCAACAGCATCATGCTACTTATCAAAAATATTGCTCCTTCATAAAGAATTTCCTAACGTATTTGCGGCCAGCCTGCTACTGCAGATGCAGTATTATACTAGGGTTCTGTGGCAGAAGCAGGGAGAGCAGCTACCAGAGTACTCCAGATAGTTAATTCCTTAATACTAACTGAATATTTGTACCTACAAAGTGTTTTCTATCCAAGGAACTCAGAGAGTTTTACAATAATAGTCTTACAGAACTTCTGTAAGGTAGCTATTATCCCCATTTTAGAAATTGGGAAACCAGGGCACAGTACAATTAAAGGACTGGCACAGAGTCAGACAGGGCCTGATTTTTAAAAAGGCATGTAGGCACCTAAAGCTGCAGATTGATGCTTAATAGGACTTTCAAAAGCACCTAGCGGTCCAACTCCCATCTTTGTAAAATACTTTAGAGCATTTATACATGCTACATAAGTGCAAAGTATAATTATTTATTACTGTTTATTAAATGGCATCTCCACTATTGGAAATCCCCAGTGGGAGTTAGGTGCTTAGTGGAATTTTCAAAAATGTCTATAGCCAACTACTACCTTTATAAAAAAAAAAAACAAAAAACCCAAAAAACCAAACTGTTCTACAAATCTGTGGCAGATAGAACTCAGACCTCTTTATTCTCCGTCTTGCACTTTAACAGCCAGGCACTGCCTAAATGAAACTAGGTAATATAGACTTACCTAGCAGCCATAAATTATGAGCCAGAACTTAACTAAAGTTGCACAGCAGGAAACTTGTGCTAAATTTAACACCTTTTAAGCACAGTACTGGTGCCAGGCTTGCAGGCAATAGTAGGGATTTAATAAACAAAATAGTATTAACTAATGATACTTCCCCCAATATAACATCTAAAGGCTTGAAAGTACTTTAGAAAGATGGGTTATATCACTGTTTTACAGATGGGGAAATTGAGGCATAGAAAGCATTGACTTGCCTGACATCACAGATTGAATCATTGAGCAAATCAGAGCATGAGCCTAGATATGTTATGCCATTAATAAAGAACTAATTAAGTGGATTCTCCTCTACTAATTATATTATCTTGTTTCTTGGACATTTATGTTCTATGCTGCAACAGGGTGTAGCTGTAATTGACTTCCAATTTCCTGCAGAGGGAAGCATTTGCCAGTACAAGAAAACAAGGACTTCAAGTTAAATGATCCTTTTAACAATGGAAGGGATAGCTTTATACAGCAAAAGCTCTAAACCTTTCTCCTTAAACCAAACTATGGAATTCAAATAATATGTGTCACCCAAAAAGGCTTTTTTATTCATTTATTGTGTAAAAGTCTATTTTCTATGTAAAAAGAGTATATACTGGATGATGGATAATAGCTCCAGTTCAGCACAGTTATTTCCAGGAAAATGAAATCGTGTCATGGTAAGAAACATTTATTTTTGCCCATAGCTGTACTACAGAAAAGCTAGTTTTCTCTCTCATTTCTACATCATCAGCAACTGGATGATTATATAGGAGAAAACTCCTTTCATCCCTGTAAAGTGAATAATGCATTGTGAATAACACTTCTAGTGGAACTTTTTCTATCACAGGCATATTGTTTTAAGCTACCAAGAAATCAGACTTATTTTCTTGAGTGCTACAAGGGAGCATTGGATCATCTAGTTTGATTTGCAGTATAACACAGGCCATAGAATTTCAAATGACTACCCAAGTCATGAGAGAAATAATGTATTTGACTAAAGAAAGGCATCCAATCTTGATGTGAAGACAAGAAGAGAGGTGCTGTAAAAGGTCTGCCCTTCTTAATTTATACATCTGCCCCTCTCCAGCTAGCCTTCAAGCCTCGCTGTAGGCTGTGCCCAATACTTTAGGAAATGCTGCTGTATATAAAGTTTCTACAAACATTCCACCTAATTCTAAAATGTGACTAGATGCTACTGTGAATTTACATTATAACCCTAGCCAACTTTGTAGTTATTTCCCATTTCCTACTGGTTGAAGCTGTAGGGTAGATGGGCTCACCCACCACCTTCTTCAGGTTAGAGTGCATGATAGAGAAAATACGCACGTCCTGTATGCACTGCTGCCTCCACCATTGCTATCAACAGGTCCTTATTTTCTAGGGAAGAAAAGGCATCTGTGGTCATGTCCAAATTTTCAAGATTACTGCAACAAGTATTTTGATTTCTTATGCACTTTCTGAAGAGTTGTACTCTCGTAACAATGTTATTTAAATCCTAGACTTAGAAAAAAGGAATGTACACATCTAGATAAATACAAGACATTCTCAAGGATATTAAGACAGATACGCATTATGATCAGTGCTCTCTCTGTGAGGGCTGATGGACTGATCGATCACGGTGATGAAGGCAGATATTGGCACTGGGATGGGGTGCGCGTAGATCCTCAGCTGATACAAATTGTTATAAGCTCTGTTTCAGTTTGCACTGGGTGAGGACTTGACCTCCGTATGGTAAGCTGAGTGAAAGATACTAAGCATTATAAAAATAAAATCCCTAAAAAAGTAAATTCCTAAACATTATAGCTTATGA